GAAATTGGTTTGGGGGAGTTCGAGGGGAGTTGCATCGCCAGGCCCGGATCTAATTGCCCTCCCGCCTTGTTTTTTTTATCGAGTTGACGGGAAGCGCGCGTTAGCGTGCGGTCCGTTAGTCGGAAGAAATTTGATTTGGGGGAGTTCGAGGGGGTTGGCATCGCGAGCCCCGGATCTAATTGCCATCCCGCCTCGTTTTTTATCGAGTAGGACGGCCTTCGGGGCTTCAAAACAGCGTTTCGCTCGAGACATCATCGGAGAACGCTTCTTGGGCGCTACTTGGGCCGTCTTAGGCGCCTAAACAGCCCAAGAAGCGGCCAAGACGTCGCCCAAGACGTCGTCCAAGACCGCCCAAGGCGGCCCCAAGACGTCCCAAGAGGCCTCCACGACGCCCCAGGAGGCGCCCACGAGGCGTCCCAAGAGGGCCCAAAGAGGCCAAAATCATTGATGTTCTTAAGGGAAACGTGCATGTGTAGCATATACGGCTTTTCGGCCTTCATGGCGTTGAAGACGGCCCAAGAGGCCCCCAAGACCGGCCCAAGACGGCCCAAGATGTTCCCAAGAGGCCCCCAAAATAGCCCAAGAGGGCGCCCAGACGGGCCAAGAGGCGTCCAAGACTGTCCAAGAGGCCCCCAAGAGCGCCCTAAGAAGGCCCAAGAGGCCCCCAAGAAGGCCCCAAAACGGCCCAAGAGGGCGTCAAGACGGCCCAAGAGGCGCCAAGACGGCCCAAGACGGCCCCAGGACGGCCCCAAGAAGGCCCCGAGAGGTCCCCAAGAGAGCCCAAAGACGGCCAAAGGCAGCTTGGTCCCTTCACCCCCGCAGCCCAGAAGCTCCCAGGAGGCCCCAAGAGGCCCCCGAAAAGACCAAAAAGGTCCCCAAGAGGCACCCAAGAGGCTCCGCAAGAGCCCTCCAAGAGGCCAAAATTCTCCGAAAGGCTCTTAGCACCGCGGCTCCCAAGAGCGAGCGGTGACGTAATGGAGCTGATAAGACCAAAGCTCCCAACAGAGAGCTGCGGCGTAATAAGTTCTTGCAGCCAGGGCACAGGGACGGGCGGCAACGCGTGGACAGCGAGAGTATCACGCAAGGACAACGCGGGGTTCTGGAAAGCTGGCAGCCCAAACGCGGAAAACGCAACGCGACCCGACCGCCCCCTCCAAATCAAGAAACGCGCTCAAAGAAGGCTCCGTGACTCTCCGAGGCTGATAGGACAAGAGCGAGGGGAAGGGAGTCAACAAGAGGTGTAAGAGCGGACGAGCCAGCGATCTCGTGCGCTCTGAAAGTAAGTGCGCTTTCCGTCCCCGTGCCAAGCAGGTAGGGCGGCCTTCGGGGCTTAAAAACAGCGTTTCGCTCGAGACATCATCGGAGAACGCTTCTTGGGCGCTACTTGGGCCGTCTTAGGCGCCTAAACAGCCCAAGAAGCGGCCAAGACGGCGCCCAAGACGGCCCAAGACGCCCCAAGAAGCGCCCAAGACGGCCCAAGAGCGCTCCAAGAGAGCCCAAGACCGCCCAAGGCGGCCCCAAGACGTCCCAGGAGGCCTCCACGACGCCCCAGGAGGCGCCCACGAGGCGTCCCAAGAGGGCCCCAAGAGGCCAAAATCATTGATGTTCTTAAGGAAAGCGTGCATGTGTAGCATATACGGCTTTTCGGCCTTCATGGCGTTGAAGACGGTCCAAGAGGCCCCCAAGACCGGCCCAAGACGGCCCAAGATGTTCCCAAGAGGCCCCCAAAATAGCCCAAGAGGGCGCCCAGACGGACCAGGAGGCGTCCAAGACTGTCCAAGAGGCCCCCAAGAGCGCCCCAAGAAGGCCCAAGAGGCCCCCAAGAAGGCCCCAAAACGGCCCAAGAGGGCGCCAAGACAGCCCAAGAGGCGCCAAGACGGCCCCAGGACGGCCCCAAGAAGGCCCCGAGAGGTCCCCAAGAGAGCCCAAAGACGGCCAAAGGCAGCCTGGTCCCTTCACACCCCCAGCCGCGAAGCTCCCAGGAGGCCCCAAGAGGCCCCCGAAAAGCCCCAAAAGGTGCCCAAGAAGCACCCAAGAGGCTCCCCAAGAGCCCCCCAAGAGGCCCAAAATGCTCCCAAAGGCTCTTAACACCGCGGCTCCCAAGAGCGAGCGGTGACGTAATGGAGCTGATAAGACCAAAGCTCCCAACCGAGAGCTGCGGCGTAATAAGTTCTTGACGCCAGGGCACAGGGACGGGCGGTAACGCTTGGACAACGAGCGGTCCACGCAAGGACAACGCGGGGTTCTGGAAAGCTGGCAGCCCAAACGCGGAAAACGCAACGCGACCCGAACGCCCCCTCCAAATCAAGAAACGCGCTCAAAGAAAGCTCCTCGACTCTCCGAGGCTGAGATAGGACAAGAGCGAGGGGAAGGGAGTCAACAAGAGGTGTAAGAGCGGACGAGCCAGCGATCTCGTGCGCTCTGAAAGTAAGTGCGCTTTCCGTCCCCGTGCCAAGCAGGTCGAATGGCCCTCGGCCCCTCCCGCCACCGCGCCTGGACTGTGGGCACGAAGCCTATGAGATGTTCGTTGGGGTCTCGTGGGGGGCTTCTCGGGGGCCCGGAGGCAGTTTGGGCGCCTCTTTGGGAGCTCTTTTGGGGGCCTCTCGTGGTTTCTTCTGGGCCTCCTGTCGAAGACGAAAATCAGAGCGTGAATTACCTACCCCGCTTTCGCTTCCGGGCAACACCAAGTCATGCCACGCGCCTCCTCGTCAAGCGGCCTGACCAGTACAGGCCGTAGTTTGGCATCGCTTGGTATCTCTTGGAAGCGGGGGTGGTCAACAGCGAGGTAGGTTTGTGTTCCCCCTAGCAAGACGGAATAAGCATAAACTGTCGGCCCCTCTGCGCGGATTTCTTTGATCCGTGCTGGGCCTCTCTGGCGGCGCCCCTGGCGCCGCCCCTGGCGCGCTCCGCGCGCCAGGGCTGGGGGTTCGGCGCAGGTCCAAGACATCCGCGCGGACCTCCAAAAGTGAACGTTTGTGTTGCTTTTTGCTCCTCTATCTCGGGGGCCTCTTGGCGCCTCTGGGGGGACTTTTTGGGGGGCCTCCTCGGGGCCTCCTTCGGCGCCTCCTGGGGGCCTCCCCCCGGGGACCGCGGGCCGCACCGGAAGATTTGGCCCGAGGGGCTCCGAACCCTCGTTGAAGAACTCCTCAGGAGTGTGGGCTCAGGCTGAGAGGGGAAGCTCTGGGCCTCCCAAAGGTAGAGTCAACCCGCACACTAGGGATGGGCAAGTCTCCCAAGGGTGCCTTCGGCCAATCCGCGACTTTCGCTGGCCAACCCCGTTCGAACGACGTTCACATGGGCCTCCCAGACCCTTGCATCCTTACCGCGCATCCGTCAAATACGGGTTTACTGTAGATGGGGTCGGAGGATCGCGCCGCATCGCCGATGCATCGCCTGGGCGGCTGGATGCGGAGCCGATTTCCTCCACGCCGGCTGCGCCGATGCCCCGCCGATGTCGCCCAGGCATCGGCGATGCATCGCCGATTGATCGGGGTTGCAGCGCGATCCTCCGACCCCTTCAACTCCGACCCCACCTCGGAGGCCTCCAGAGGGGAAGTGGGAGGACCGAGGACCTGAGGACACGCCCACTCTGTGCCCAGCGGCACGTTGGCGGATTACCAGCAGTGAATCGAAGAGCAAGAATCAGGAGGGAAAAACAGACAGACACAATTAATCGTCGATTCCCCAGAACATATGGGAAGATATGGGAAGTGGGGGGGAAGACGAAATCCTAAAGAATATGGGAAAATATGGGAATCGTTTTATTTGTGTGTATTTATTTGTGTGTCCCAGGGCCCCTTCAAAGAAGCGCTATAAACATAAACTTTAGTGCTCCGCGCGGGTTGCTCGGATCCGCGCTACGTAGGGCCCCCCTCTAGGCGCCTCCGGCGCCGCCCCTGGCGCGCTCCGCGAGCCAGGGAGGGGGGTCCAGCGCAGATCCAAGAAATCCGCGCGGACCTCCAAAAGGTAATGTTTATGCCGCGTTTTGCTCCTCTATCTCGGGGGCCTCTTGGCGCCTGTGGGTGGACTTTGGGGGGCCTCCTCGGGGCCTCCTTCGGTGCCTCCTGGGGGCCTCCTCCGGGCCTCCTGGGGCGCCGCCCCTGGCGCGCTCTGCGAGCCAGGGAGGGGGGTCTAGCGCAGATCCAAGACGTCCGCGCGGACCTCCAAAAGTTTATGTTTATGCAGTTTGTGCCTCCTTTGGCGTCGACTGAGGCTCAGAGAGGTGGTGGAGGGACCCGAGGACGCGCCCACTCCTTGCCCGGCGGCGCGGTGGCGGATGACCGGCAGTGCAGCAGAGAGTCGCAGCAGTCGAGCTCGCGTTAGTGGTGGGCGGACGAGACGGGGAATGAAGCATTGTAGGCTGAGTAGGGGTGAGTGCCAAGGAGGTTGTGGAGGACGACCAGTGGAGAAGAAGCACATTGCCACATAATTTCCAGATGTCTACAACATGTGTTAAACATGTTTTAAACATGTGAAACAACATGTTTAACACATGTGTAGAGCATGTCTCCTACATATTGGACACATTTAAACATTCAATGCTAGGACTGTGAGGGTGCCCATCCTCGTGGCATCCACAGCAATCAGGCTGCAGGAAGGAGACTGGAGCAGAAGGACACCGAGTACCAGGCGAAGGAGGAGGCAGGCGGCCCAGAAGTGGTTCCTGCACGGCCTCCTTCGGCCCGCCCCCGACCCGGGGACCACGCGGCCTCCTGCGCGATCGACGTCTTGCGGTTTTGTTTTTCTTTTCGGAGGTCGATAGAACTCCTACCCTGACACGTAGATTCAGGAATTGGCCGTTTCCGGTTCGCGAGAGGGCGTCGCGGCCGTCATTTTTGCGGGTCCGGGTCCGTCGGTTTCGGTCTTAGGACGTTTTCGCTAAGGGGAGGTTTACGAAAGGGAGGTCTGCCCACCGCCGATGTTTGCAGACGCGCACAGGCATCCGATGTCTGGTCGATGCGTGCCCTCTGCGGGGGAGGGGGGAATATTCTTCCTCCGAGGAGCAGCAGATGCTGCAGAGACAGCTCTTGGACAGCCAGGACTCAGAGCTGGCGGAGCTTTCCAAGACGACGCAGCGCCTCGGTCAGACAGCACAGGCGACGGCCTGCCGCGAGAGGGGGAGATCCTTCGGCAGTGCCCTCTCCCGATCATGATAGTCGTCGCCATTATCGCTCTCCATCGCTCCCCCCCCACGCGCCATGAATCACCACCCACCAAACCACCCCAACCCAACCCGAAGGCCTCAATTTGCCCTCTATTTCCAGTGTGGGGGGGTCCGGGAACATCGAAAAAACACGCATGGAGCCCATACCCCCCCCCACCCGAAATTTGGGTCTTCGGGTTGGGTTGGGGTGGTCTGATGGGTGGTCAATGAAGGAGACGGGCCCTGTGGGAAAGTGGTGCTGCAGACTTCTCCACGCCTTCGGCCTCGCGGGGCCCTCCCCGGAGCCCCGGGACCGGCAAGAACTGCTCAAAAATGTGGAGGAGTTGGCCCAGGGGAAAGCCCTGCAGTCTGGGACCCGTTTCCCACAGGACCCGTCGCTTTTTTGCCGCATCCCTGTTTGTTTTCTTCCCCAGTTTCCGCTTCCGCCCCCGTCCCCGCTCACGTGCCGGTCTTCTCGGCTTCCTGGCCGGATCCTGGGATCCCGAACGCAGGGAGGATCAGCAGCAAGAGACTCCTCCTCCTCCTCCTCCTCCTCCTCCTCCTCCTCCCTCCTCCTCCTCCTCCTCCTCCTCCTACTCCTACTCCTACTCCTACTCTACTCCTACTCCTACTCCTACTCCTACTCCTCCTCCCCCTCCCCGTCCCCTCCTCCCCCTCCCCTCCTCCTTCTCCTCCTCCTCCTCCTCCTCCTCCTCCTCCTCCTCCTCCTCCTCCTCCTCCTCCCTCCTCCCCTCCTCCTCCTCCTCCTCTCCTCCTCCTCCTCCTCCTCCTCCTCCTCCTCCTCCTCCTCCTCCTCCTCCTCCTCCTCCTCCTCCTCCCCCTCGTCTCGGCGGCGCGCCGAGGGTAAGATGAATCGAGAGGGGTCGGGGCTGCTCGGGAGATGGCGGGGCTTCCCAGACGCCCTGCGGCCGTCCAAGGAGCCATTTTCGCCGAGCGCGCTCCACTCTGCACGCACGAAATGGGTACTCCAGATTTCGTAATAAAGGGAGGGGGGTCTCATTTCGGGGGGGGGTCTCTTCCAGGCCATCTTGGAGGGCCTGGGGGGGTCTGGGGACGACGTTTTGGAGGGTTCTCCCACGGGGGGGGGTCTGAAATGGCTCGTCTTGGAGGGTCCAGACCCCCTCCCTTTTATTACGAAATCTGGAATACAATGCCCAACAGCGGATCTGGTTCATTTTGAACAGGGCTCGCTGTCCACGCCGCCGCGGCCGGTGTCCATTCGAGACAGGAGGCCGCCTGCCCAGCAGCGGCCGCTGTTGGTTTGGGACAACATTTGCTGTTGGGCATTGTACCCATTTTTTCGGTACCCATTTCGGGCGTCCAAATCCACTACTCACAAAGTGCCTACTCGCAAAAGTCCCAAGAACACCTGTCTGCTTTCATGTCATGTATCGTAGATCCCTGGCGGGGGATCCAGGCCAGTTGCGAGTAGCTACTCTGCGAGTAGGGGAACGCGCTCGTCGACATTTGTAGCTTCGGAGAAGGCTTAGAGAGCTCTTCAGGAGGCCGGAGGGCCTATGAGCCTTCCGAGCAGGCCCGCCTCCGCTGCCTTCCCTGCCAGGTGCGCCGCCGAAGCGACCGAAGCAAGAGACCCCCCCTTCTCCTCCTCCTCCTCCTCCTCCTCCTCCTCCTCCTCCTCCTCCTCCTCCTCATCCTCCTCCTCCTCCTCCCACTCCCTCCTCCTCCTCCTCCTCCTCCTCCTCCTCCTCCTCCTCCTTCTCTGTTGGTTTGCCTGCTTGTCGGTCTGTTCTTCTTTTTTTCGGCATGAGGGCGAGGTGCCGATACCGATACCGCTACCCTCCGCCCGTCTTCCCCTTTTGGGCCTTCTCGGAGGTCTTCGTTGCTATCGCTGGATTCGCCTCCAAATAATTTGGAGGCGAATCCAAATTCTAAGTCAGAGCGAATCCGTGGAGGGGTCTGGGCAGTAGCGGCATTGGTACCTCTTGGTTCCCCAGTCGGGCCTCCATGAGCCCGTAGCGTCAGGCGCGCGCGGACCCGCGGCGCAGCCGACACCACGTCATACCACCCCACGGCACGGCAACGCGACCTGCGTCGAGATTTCAAGGGAAACAGCGTAGACAACGACTTGGCCAGAGGTCAGGGGCTCGAGGAAGTGGTGTCTTCCTTTCCTCCTCCTTTTCGACGTTGCGCGAACGTAGGCCAGAGTGCTGCACAGTTTGGTGGATCGAGAGAAGAATACGCATGAAGATGCGAAAGAGCGTGTTCTCCCGCTGCTGGCGGAAAACCGAGGGGGGGGTCACTAGGGGCTCCCAACCCGCCCCCCCCCCTGAAAACCGAGGGGGGTCACTACCCGCTCGAACCCCCCCCCTCCCAGTCCATCATGAAAAAACGGGGGGGGTCTCTACCAGTTCGGACCCCCCCCTCTCGAAAACGGGGGGGGTTCACTACTGGTTCGAACCCTTTCCCCCCCCTCGCCGCGGGCAAACGATTCCCGCTCCTCGGGACAGATGGACAGTGGTGGGGATACCGGGACAGTGGTCGGGACGGTGGTGGTGGGGACAGTGGTGTGGGGACAGTGGGACAGTGGTGCGGACAGTATTGAAGATTGTGGTGGTGGGGACAGTGGTGAGGGGACAGCGGGACAGTGGTGGGGACAGTGGGACAGTGGTGGGGTGGTGGGGACGGTAGTGGTGGGGACAGTGGTGAAGGCGGTGGTGAGGACGGTGCTGGGACATTTGTTCTGTGGGGAGACTGGTGGGAACAGTGGGGACAGTGGGACAGTGGTGGGGACAGTGGGGACAGTGGGACAGCACAGTGGGACAGCGGCGGGGACATTGGGGACAGTGGGACAGCGGTGGGAACAGTGGGGACAGTGGGGCAGTGGTGGGGACCGTGGGGGAAGTGGGGAGAGTGGGACCCCACAGGGAGCTCCACCGGAGGCCCCAGTGGCAGGGTCCGCAGGGCGGCGCCGCCCCATTTTGGGGCACCACTCGCATGGTTCGTGGCTCCATAGGGAGCTCCACCGAAGGCCCCAGTGGGAGAGTTCGCATGGCACCGCCGTCCAAATTCGGCACACACCTTACACGTTTCGTGGCCCCATAGGGAGCTCCACAGAAGGCCCCAATGGCGACGTTCGCAGGAGTCCTCCCGACTCATGTCGGCACACCCCTCACACGTTTCGTGGCAGAAGGCCATACTGCGTGCGCCACTCGGAGTTTGCGCGCCCCCCTCCTTCGTCTCATCTCCCTCGCGGCACTCGCAGCTGCAGATGGTTGGGTCCTTCATCAGGCTAATTTTTTTAAATAGTCAATTTGCTGGTCAGGGCGATCGTCACTCTCTCATCTTCCTCGAACTACCCCTACCACCCTCGAAACAACTTATCCCCCAATACCCCTGTCCTCCTCGAACAAACCCCATCCCCCTCGAACTATCCCTATCGCGCTTCTCCTTATCCCCCCAGATCTGCTCCTGCCCCCCCCCCTTCCCTCCGTGTTCCTCTCTCCCCTAACGCCTGCAGACTCCCTGCCACCCCCCCCGCTCCCCCCTCCGCCTCTCTCCCCCTCCCCCCCTGTCCCTCCTCCCCCTCACCCTCGCTCCCACTCCCTCCCCCTCTCTCCCCTTCCCTCCCCCTCTCTCCCTCCTTTCCGTCACTCCCCCTCCCTCCCACTCTCTCCTCCTCCCTCCCCATCTCTCCCCCTCTCCTTCCCCTCTCTCCGCCTCCCCTCCCTGTCTCTCTCTCCCCCTCTCCCCCTCCCCTCTTTGTCCCTCCTCAGCTTCTGGCCGCCCTCTCCTTCGCCCACCCGTGCCCCGCTCGACTGTTTTCGCTGTGTTAGGCTCTGCAGAGCTTGTGGGCGCCGTTGTGCTGACATTGTATAGCCTCCTGCAGAGATTTGTCCGCCCACAGGCCCTACGAAAGCCGGGCGCGGAGTGCTGTCACGGTTGTCGAGGGGCTTCCCGGCGGATAGTGAGAAGCCCTTCCCGCTTGGACCTCGATGATAAGGCGGCTGGGTGCCTATCCACTAGGGGGGGCCCATGGTTGCAAGGTCAAATCGGCATCACCCGAACATGCTGACACTATGTGTGCGTCACCCCCAGAGGCGACGCGTACGACCAGCCCCGTGGCGGGCGATTTCTGGCCAATGCGCTCGGGTAGCGGTGTACTCCAAGATGGTTGCATTATATGTTTGGGTCGGACGCGCGCCTCCAAGGAGGACGTACAGTTTTTATGTCTCCGTGTGTCCCATACGGGGTGCTCATGGTTGTAAGGCCAACAGGTCCCCCTCCCTTCCCCCGCGCCCTCGTGCGGGCGTCCGTGCGTGGCCTGCGGCGCGCGAAGAGAGATCGGCGGGAGGGGCGGCGGCGAGAGACGCGCGCTGTGAGGTGATCAACGCGGAGCTCCGCCAGCAGCAGGAGATTCTGGACGACCTGAACGAGGATCAGTATCTCAAGCAGTAGCGAAGCGTCCTGGCCTGGCTTAGGCCCACCAGGGAGCGTTCTGAGAACCTTTCTGGTTCGCACGAAGTGCCCTTACAACTTTTCTGGTCGATGCTTTCTTATTTTGAGAAAACAAATCGGCTGTATGGTCACATAACTGCGTCTTTGTTATGAAAATCCTCTGCCGGTTCTTCGAACATTTCATGGGAGGGCTATCGGAATGTCGGGACGGTCGGCCCCTGCTCAAGTATCGTTCAATTGCTCCTTATCCCCATCCCCATCTTAGGGCCTCACCGTCTCAGCACCCCAGTTGGGGATCTACCCCTCCGTTCCTGGAAGGACGCGGTCTACGTCCCTGTCCAGGGGGGGTAAAGCAGCCGGCGGGGCCCAGGCCACGCCGTTGGGGACAGGGGGCCGGATCAGTGATGCCCCAGAGGACATGGAGCGGGAGATGCAGAAGATGGACTTCCTGACGAAGGGCATGGGCCGCCGCCCCAGGGGGAGGGTGTGGCGGCGAGGAGGGGGGAACGAGGGAGGGGAGGGAGAGGAGAGGGAGGGAGGGGAGGGGAGGGAGGGGAGGGGAGGGAGGGAGGGGAGGGGAGGGGAGGGAGGGGGGAAAGAGGGAGGGGAGGGAGAGGAGAGGAGGAGTGGCCCCGCCGCTCCCTCTGTCCTCCCCTCCCCCCCTTCCGCGGGCCTCTGGATGGTACCGGACGGGACTAGTGACTAGGGCGAGGATAACTCAGTCTCAGAGCGTTCCGGGAGGCTCTCAGAGCGTTTTGGGACGCTCTGAGAAGTCCGCGGCGCCTGAGACACCCTCCAGAGCCGCCAGATCTCAGGGATATGAAGCGAACTATGCACATGCACCGATCCTGGCAAAGCCCATCCTTGACCCAGGATCGGTGCAGATGCCTTCCTGACCGGTACCAAGTTCGGGATGCGCATGCACTGATCCTGGGCTCAGGATGGGCCTGGCCAGAATCGGAGTATGTGCATAGTTCTCCTTCCTCTAGAGATCCCCGAGCTATGCTCACCTGGTTTTGCCCTCGTCCCGGCTTCGTCTTGGTGGCCCTCCCTTCCCTGCCCCCCCCCCCTCGGAGGGGGGGCGCGACTCGACCCCGACCGCCCCATCGGCAACGGGCAGAGTCGCGGGCAGAGGCGCACGGGGATCGCCCGTATAGAGCAGGAGTCGAAGAAGAAGCACGCCATAATCGGGGGTGGACAGAACCCCCAACAGTGACACGTCGATGAGTGAATTGTCCGTTCTCGGTTCTCGAGATGGCGCCGCGGCCGTCATTTTCCGGGCTTGCCCCCCGCCAGGTTTGGGCCTCAGGTCGTTTTCATTAAACCACGTTTTGCTAAAAAGGGGGTCTGTCCATCCCCGACATAAGCATAAGCTTTGGCGCTCCGCGCGGACGTCTTGGGTCCGCGCCGGATCCCCCGGCGGCGCCTCCTGCGCCGCCCCTTGCGCGCTCGTTGCGCCAGGGATGGGGGTCCAGCGCGGATCTACGAAATCCGCGAGGAGCGCCAACACTTTACGTTTTAAGCGTTTCTCTTCTTCTAAGGAGGGGGTCGTGGATGTGGGAGGGGAGGCGGGGTGGGCGGGGCCGACAGGAATCATTGAGAGCAAGAGAGAGCCCCCTCCCTAACAACACTGAAGACGTGGCCTCACTCAGAGGTCCCCGTCGCTGCATCGGGGCAATGGATCTGGGTGGTCTGGTTCGATACGTGTGCAGAATACAAACGACCCTATCCCTGATGTGTTTGGCCCTCCTAACTTTGGTACCCTCTCAAGGGTTCAGGGCCCTTCGATGTTGCCAATCAAGGGGGCTGGTGCCCAGTTGAGCAGTACTGGGGGACAGGTGGGAAGGGCGCGGAGGTGCTGGGCAGGAGAAGGGATGGAGAGGGGTAGTTACAGTCAGGAGTGGAAAAAACACACACAATGAATCGTCGGTGCCCAGAAATCGGTGAAAATATGGGAAGTGTGGGGGGGGAAGACGAGCATCCAAAAACATGAAACAATATTGGGAATCCTGGGATTTATGTGTGTGTGTATGTGTGTGTGTGTGTGTGTGTGTCTCTGGGCCCCTTCATGCAGGAAGAGCGGAAGGGAGCGTAGGGTGCGGCGGTGAAGCGGGTTCGAAGCATTCGGCCATCGTGCAGCGAGTAAAAGGAACACTACCCCTCGGAAGCATGAGGAGCGACACAAGCTCGAAAGCCAGGCAAGGGCTGCTAAATCCGTGGCTGCTAACATCGACCTCCGGGAAGTTGTCTTCGTCCTTCCAGGAAGAAGCCCGTTGACTGCTTCGCGTGCCGCGCCTCATTCCGGGAAGTTGTCTGTTCTTTCCGGGAGGGCCGTTCTAGCAGCCACAGCTTTAGCAGCCCTCGCCCAGCTTTCGACAAGCACCACGAGGGAGGTCACCTCCACGAAGGAGGTCCACGATGATCTCCCCGAGCCGGAGGACGGGGATGGCTCGAGCGAGAGGCGGGGGGCCACACCACCAGGGAGAGCCCCCTTGCTCCTCGCATCTCCTCGCCCTGGTGGTGATGGTGTCGCCTTTCCTTGTTCCTAACCCCTGAGCTTGCCGAGGGCTATGATGCTCCAACCTACTTCTAGCCTTGATCACGAGAAAGAGTTTCGAGCCCCCCCAACATTGCCGAAACTCGAGGGTTTTCACACGTCGGGCCTTGGGAGACACTCGCCCGACACTGTTTCGACACCCTTTTAACACTTTTCAGGGTGCTCGACACTATTTCTGGGATGTGGTCTTTAAGTAGGATGGGAACAACATAAGCCGAGGGGCGAGACGATGATACAGCACCCCGCGATGACAGCGATAGCCCACCAGCAGCGAGTATCGAGTGTGCTGGGCCCCCCCCCCCGACGGCGCCTCCGGCGCCGCCCCGTGGTCCAGCGGTGACCCGAGAAATCCGCGCGGGGCGCCAAGAGTTTTTGTTTATGGCGCTGTGCTCTTCTTCTAGAGCATGGTCCCAAAAGGCCACCGGAAAACGCGAATAGCCAGAGTGACCAACAGGACGTTGAGGCACTCCACGAACAGGTACAGGACACACACACACACAGAGATGTCCACCAGCCACGCTGTGAAGTACGCCCAGCCAGCTGGGACGTGGGTTTAGATCGACACACAGGCCTCCGCATCACTGCCGATGGTGACTGAGAGGGAAGACTCCCAAAAAGGGTTCACGACTACTGCTGCTCACACAGCGCTTGCTCTTCGGATGGTGGCGCGGCACCAGGGAGCGGCCTCCGCACTCAGAGCCCACCTGCAGAAGCTTCAATTGGATGGCCGTCGGCCTTTTGATCGCGGCCTTCCCACGATCTCGACCAACAAAGCCACCTTCTCGAAGAGAGCTGGCCTCCCTGAGCTCAGCGCCCTCGCCAGAGCCTCAGGTCGAAACGATACCGACACCAGCGTTAAAGCTTGAGGCCGACTTACAACCGCCCTCGCGAACAGCGGCTTCCGCGGATCGTGCTGCCCTCTAGGCTGCACGGATACGGTCGACCTGCTTTTGGATGGTTGCGTCTAATGCCTCTTCAGTCTTCAGAGTGGAATCCTCCGTGGGGCAGAATGTCATGATAAGCCGCTTGCTGACCTGCCCGAGATTGGACATGTTGAGCAGGTGGCGCTTGGGCATGAACTGTTTGTAGAGGAGAAGCCGGGGATGCCGCCTCACTACTGCACCGAATCCAGATGCCCAATTCTGGCATGCCATCTTATGCTTTCCCCCTCCTCGCCTCTGCCAGGCGAATGGAGCATAATTGCCTGATCCACTTCATTTGCGACAGTATTACCTCGGATGCAAGCGGTGGCATGCTGATGTCTTCGGGCGCGTGCAGAATGATGCGAACTTGCAGGAGACTAGGCTTAGCAGCTTTGCCGACTCCACATGCACGGCGCGCCCGTGGTCGGTGATTTGATTCTCAACCCTACCTAGACGTGCAAGAATTGGTATCGAGACACGTGCGAGAGGTCGACTGCTGAGTAAAATAACCGAGCGGGCAAATCAATGAGCGAAGTGGTTACTGCGGCAGTGGAGGGGATAGGTATGAGTAGGGGGGGGGTACGGACAAGCGAGCTGCGCCCACGCCTGGCATCCTGCCCCTCCCCGAAAGCATACCTCTCCTTTCGTCTGGCCGAGCGTCGGGATCGGCCTTTGGCCCCTGGGGCTGCACCTGCATAGGCTAGCTTCCCGCCTTCTGCTGCCCCAGAGGGCGCGGGGGCCGGAGGGGGCCGAATAACAGGCGCAGGGGGGAGGAGGATGAGGGGGAGAAGGAGGAGGGGGAGGAGGAGGACGAGGAGGAGAAGGAGGAAGAAGAGGACGAGGAGGAGGAGGAGGAAGAGGAGGAGGAAGAGGAGGAGGAGGAGGACAAGTTGGAGGAGGAGGAGGAGGAGGAGAAGGGTGGGTGAGGAAGGACTTCTTTGTTTGATCGGATTTTTTCAGCGCTGGGCTCGCCGTAAGCATCTTTGGGCTCGCGCCTGAGGCCGCATCCTGAAGACGAACAACTGGTGGCAGGTCTACTTGATGGTCCCGGCCGGCGCCGTTCCGGCGCCCCCCTCGCTGTGAAGCGGAGAGCCCCTCAGATTGGGGGGCCCAGAGACAATCGGTGATCACACCAGGTGGAGATTCGGGGTATGAAACCGCGCGGTCTCGGCATTTGGATCGTTCTCCGAGGACGCCTTGGGCGACTGGGGCATCCAGGGTCCTAAATCCGAGCGGCGACGGCCCGTGCGGTGAGGTCTTCATCGAGGTCGCCGCACGGTCCGTCACCACTCCGTTTGGGGACCCCTCCGTGGAAGGTGTCAAGAGACGCCGCCATCCCTCCGCTGCCTTTTGCCCTCCTGCTCTACCTCTTCCCTCACCCTCCTTCACCCCCTCCCGCCCCTCTCCCTCCCTCCCCCCCTCGCGCCGACAATGGGGTGCGGTCTTCTCAGAAGGCGGAGGAGCTTCTAAGAAGCCATGGGCCTTTGAGAAGGGCTTAGCGGCTTCTAAGGCAATTTCTTGGAGGCCGAAAAGCGCCCCTACCTTTGTAGACGCCTCGCCGTCTTCTTAGAAGGCTTCCCTCTCGCGCCACCCCCTTGTGCGCGCCACCCCCTTGAGCGTGCCTTCGACTATTTCAATCTGATCGGTCCGATGTTCGATCCGAGCGGCTTCGGTACGGCACGCGGGTCGCATGGCGCCAGTGTGCGTTTTGGCGCGCACGGGCCGATCCGATGCCGACTCCGAGCCGGTGCGTCCCGATCCGACGCATGCTCTGACCTGCTCCGACGCTGGGTTCGGGTATGGCCAGAGCCCGGGGTACGGGGCCCGGTTAGTGGTATAGGGCCCCGCAGCCTTCGCATTGGCCAGGATCACTAAAGCATGGTTTGCCATAGCCGGTACTTTTGTCGGGTGACGGCCAGTTCCGGTCAGTGGACATCGCACGGGGGGGCACTATCCCGGTACAGATCTGTAAACCAGGTTCCGC